TTAGCAAAGCAGACCAAAATAGAGTATGGAGCGGTTGCAGATGGAGCCACCGTGACTTTCTTTCGGGTAAGTTCTTTTCATTGTATGCATTGACCTCAGTCGGACCATTTCGACTGTTTATGTTTGTTGATTGCTGCAAAAAAAGCTAAATGAAAGTTAATCTTGAGATTACTGGTCTGTTCTAGTACATTTTGTTTCTCTTACAATTTCTCCCTTTCCTCCCTCGCTTCTGAAGCTTCTGTTTGATTCCTACCAGGTACAGTTCCATTGTCAACCTCTGCTAACCCACAAAAATGCCCATTATTTATTTATAAAACTTCACAATGAAAGCTGGTATCACAGCCAAACCTGGCAACCACACAAGCACACATTTCCGCCTTGGTTTCTGTATAGCAGTGAGGAATGGAAATACAGGCAGATTTTTCTCTTTCAAACTCAGGGAACTGAGGCCAGTTGTAATGGGTCAAATGCTGACCTGTGAGATCAGAAACTCAGCTCAGACCTTCTACTGTCCCCTCTGATGGCTGAGTGCTTCACCAGGCAGTGCTTGTACTCACACAGGCATTGGGAGAAACTTCTCTTTGGTACATTTATTAAAATATATTATTTTGATATTGATAAATATAACAAAAACTTGCACTTAATATAGCACCCTCCACGCAAGGTTGCATCTCAGAGCACTCAAATAATTTCAACAAACATCAGTAGATTAATTAGCAAGGGGAGAGAACCACAGAATTAAATCAGGATTTCTCTAAATATACCTGTGCAGCTTGCTTTTTATTTTAGTCATGCAGTAATGTATACTGTGAGTTTCCTTAATAAAGAAACAAAAGAGAAAAAATAGCATCACTGTCTGCTTTTAGAATTAATTACTAAATAAAATGTGTATTTTTTAAGTTCAGGGGACATAAATTAAAGCAATGTTCTTTCCATTCCAGACACATGGATATCTCCATGTGTGGGTGGCATACATATGTCAAACTCTGGTTTGTGTACTCTTAAGCATGGTGATGAGTTTCTGCATATGTCAGACAGACAGCTGAACCAAAAAAGTAAATGAAGCAGAATAACCATGTGTTTGTTCCATGACAACTGCAAGAAAACCCTGTACAAGGTGGTTGCTCTCTGGGCAGTAACAAAATAATTTTGCTGTTAGCTTCAGGTGATAAAAAGGTGATAAAAATCTTCTGCGCTGTAAAAGTCGATGATTCTGCAGCCATCGTGACTCTATATAGATGCAAGTTGTTGTTGATTCTACAGCAATAATGACTCCCTCAGGATTGAAATGCGCTAAAGAACTAGCCCCAATGTTGGGAAAATCGAGCAAGCCATCCTAAAAGCATATGTGTATAGAAATTCAGTTGAATAATTTAGCAGGACAGTGCTTTTGTTCTGGAGACAGTGCTGTACAATCATGATAAAGTCCATTATGCCTGAATATTGGACATCTGTTCCATTTGCCACTCTGCGTTCCAACATAACTTTTAGTGTTTCATTTTAAACGTTTCAAACATTTTGTGCTGAAATTTTGTGTTTCAACATTTTGAAATTAAATAGCTTATTACAAGCATCAGCCATTCACTCAGAGCCAGCTTTGTTTACCAAATTAGATATTATAGTTTGAAAATATATTTTGGTCCATGCAAACTCTTCTGTGTAATCCGCTGGGGAAAAATAGAATTGGACACAACATAAGGGACTGCCATTAATTTATTATTGTGAACTGCCTCTTCTCTCTGTTGAGCAGATGGTCTTACATAAGGATATTTCACCAACAGTTACACATTCATTTCAAGAGCAGTCAATTAATTAATAAAAAAAACTGAAGGAAAAAAGATAACTTTGCAATCCCAAAGTAACCTTCATTTTTTTTAGATTTTTCTTAAAGCATGAGTGTCAACTCTCTGGTTTTCAGTATCTATCTAATGTTGTTAAGTTTCTTTTAGAAGTGGATTCATTTTTTTTCACAAATTCTGAACTTTTAAAGCTGAATTTGGTTACTTATCTCCTTACCATCCAACAAGAAATAAAAGTATAATTAGAGTATCTGAGGGAGGGAAGCTGTGGGGTGGGGGGGGGGAGGGGGTTGAGTAATTTCACAGTCTTAAGATTCTGAGGCAGACTCAGTTAGAAACAATATAATGAGTCTTGATTTTAACACAGTGAACATACAGGGAGGAGGAAAAGCATTGAAGACTGGGGAGGAAAAAGTTCAAAGAAGCATTGGTCATAGTAGTATTGATAAAATAAAGAACAACGAGAAGAATTCCATTAGAAACAGATGTTGGAGATCGGAGGTGATAGGAATATCTAGAAGGTGACAATCCTTCCAATACTATGTACAGGAATCAAAGAAAGTTAGATTAAATTCCTGAGATTGTTCAAGTGGCAAGGGTGGCAACTCCAAGGGTGTCTTAGCCACCTTTGAGCAAAGACCATGTGTCAAAATAAAATCTGGGGAGGATTGTTTCATAAAAGGGCCAGTTGTTAATTATTGACTGGATGCACCCACTAGTTTTGGTGATGTGATATAATTATCACTGGCAAATTATCATGTTGAATGTTGCATTTCTGTGATTATAAAGTGTGTGGGGGTGGATAGTGGGGGATTCAACCATTCAATCACTAAGTACTGATGGTTGGTGATGAATCTAGAATGGAAGCCTCAGCAATATATCGGATATAGGTGCTGGATGGTAATTGTTGGAGATCACTCACTCAGAGAAGCAACAAAGTGGAAAGTGACATAGATTCCCAGGGAGATACTGAGTTGATGAAACCAGAGTCAATGGTGTATATTTGAATGTGCACCTCATCTCCAGTGACCACAATTTTTTTTGCAACCAAGGACTTTTTTTTAACAAATAAAAAATTACCAACATTATATTTCCAATAATTATTTGCATTTTACTCTGACAGTAAAATAGGATGGAAGAATGGAGGCACACTGTACTTTGTCAGTGGTGCTGTGTGGACTGAACTTATCACTTGTGGAGATCACAGTGGCTTTCATAGGTTCAGCAGATAATTTTTTTGATTGAAGTTTCAAAATGAAAACCATTTGAGTTTGTTGTGGTGATCCTAAACCAGAGCTGCATTTCCTGGAGTACAGCAGATGACTAATTCTCTAAACAATTCCATCTACATGAAGAATTAAGTAACTGTAAAGTTCAGATCGTTTTGCTTGAGGGGATTTTTTGTTAGCAGGTCAGCATATATTATGTCTGTATCTGGTGAAAATTACTGGTCACACCTGAATGTGAGGCAGTTTCACTCTTGGTTCATTCCAATCTTTGCTAGGTCTATTTCACTACAGGTCTGGTGTATTGTGGGTGGATGAGCTGGCACATTTGGGCATTTTAAAATAGAGTATCGCAGACATGACATAACTTTCAACAGTCGATGCTGTCCTTTAGGAGCCAGGAGCAGTGGATGAATGGGAAAGAAGGGCAGGGAGGAGGAGGTATTTACACACCTCCAGCAAAAATAGTTCTACTGCTGGTGAGCGAAGAAGTCAAATCCTTGGGCCAGGCTGCCGATGCTTCTAGGGCTTCCATCACTGCTCCACTGTTGTGCCCACAAACCAATGTTGAAATCCTGTGATCTTTACAACTTCTGCTTCATTGGCGTAGGGGGTGAGAATGTTCACTCAATACCTGGCATATCGGCAGCAGCACTATTTCCAATGATGTGATAATCATGCATTGATGCCTTGTTTTTCACCCCATATGAGACATCGGGTCTATCTTTTGTTGATCATTAAAACTCCCATTATAAAAGAAAGATCACAGTTTTGGTGATAACCCCAACGTATTCTACAGGCCATTCCCTTTGAGCTCTGCTTCAGGTACAGCCCACTTAAAACTTCATGGCTGTTTGTAGGACATTGGGTGCAAATTGGCTGTAGCATTTGCTTACAGAATACTCAGTCACTGCACTTTACTGTAAATCATGTGAAGTGCTTTGAGATGTCCCTTTGGCGTGAAAGGCACTACATTAAATGTAGTGGATTATCAATTAAGAGTAAGGTTGAGGGGCTGCCCTGCCAACAGAATTGTAATTCGACTTGAGTCAGCACCTCCAGGAAAGTAGGCAAAAAATCTACACTACTTGTATTGAGTGCTTTAAGCTTGTAATTCTGTGATAGGTTACTCCAAACTCTGCTTCTATAACTGACTCTATAAAGTCTGTTTTTAGAGGTTGCCTTAAACTCAAATTCTGTTATCAATGTTATAAACTCTATCTGGTTCAGTTATAGGCCACTATAAATTCTGCTTCAGTCACAAACTACTGTGAACTTTGCCTGGACAGCTATAAATGCTGTCACTTTCACCATTTGCTACAAACTCTGGTTCTCAAGCAGCTTTAATCGTCCTTGTACATGACCATCTGCCATCACATGTTGGAAGCTAATAAGACTAGCATCACTAAGCACAATATTTTATAAAGATGATACCTTCTGTTAGACAAACGTGTTTTCCATACCAACCACCATTCAACTCCTCAAACACCTCACATTGAGACCATTTTTTTTCTCCGTGACAAGGAAACTTCTACCAACTCAAAGATTGTGCTGGTAATAAAAAGAATACAGGTTAAATGAATCATATTGACTTTCTGCTGCTTTTTATTAATATCAGAATTATTATATCAAGGTTTCATCTTCCATGTAAACAGAAACAATAGAAAAAATTATGTATTAGGTTGAGTGGCAAAATCATTAGGCTCATTCCCAGTTGTTAGAATTGTTACTGGATTAACGTTCCCATGAAGGTCATGTCTGCAGACTTGAATTCTAACAACATATAAATATTTACAGCTTCTGTTTACAGTATTTCAGACAGTTTGTTGATAACATCATTTTAAATAGCAAAAAGTAAAAATGTTGTCCCTGTTAATCATTTAAAACGTTTTAAGTATCACACTTAATTGGGATTCTGTTGATTTGTAAGCTGCAACAGAGAATCTGTTTCTTTCTGTTTTGTGCAACCAATTATAGTCAATCCATATGCATTATCTACCAATGTCAGATTGAACAGCCAGTGTTGTGTTTGAGAGCCTCACTGTACATTTAATTATTTTAAAACAAATGGCTCAGTTGGTAGCACTCTCCCCTGAGTCAGAAGGCTTTGTGTTCTAGACCTACATCCAAATTTTTAACCCAAATAGTCTACGCTGACACTCCAATTTTGTGTTGGCAGTGTGCTGCATTTTTGGAAGTGTCGTCCTTCAGATGAGATGTTAAACTGAGGTTCCGTCTGCCTGTTCAGGTGGCCTTAAACAATCCAATGGCACTACTTGAAAAGTGGAGTTTCTTCCTTTGTCCTTGTCAACAATCCCCAAATAAAATTGGTCATTCGTGTCATGGCTGTTTGTGAGACATTGCTGTATGAAATTGGTTGTCATGTTCACTCACAAAATACACACAGTCACAGTACTTTACAGTATATCCTGTGATGTCTCAATGATGTAATAAGTCACAATATCAAATGTAAGTATTATTATCGAGAAGGTGATTTATGCTGTGTATATATATGTATATATTTAGATATATAGTACAATGAATGTTCTAGGACAAAACACTCATTCATCTCATTATTTTGCTGAAATCTTACTATGAATTATCTCTCACTGAGAATTGTTAAATCTCCAAACTGGCCTTGAAAATTAATATTGATGTAAATTGAAGCTTTTAAGAAATTGAAAGAACTAAAAATTATTTCAAATCCACGGTTTCAAAAAACTGGTCTTTGAACTGTACGATGCGTGAGGTGTTGTAGTCATTGTCCAATTTAACACAGTCCAGTGGAACTGTTTAATTTAATTTTGATACCCTTAGCAAACGGCAGTAAAAAGTTAATTTACGACACAGAGACATACTGTGGATAATTAGTGCAAGACTTTTCAGCTGACCACAGCTGTTGTTATCCTCAATAGTACCCAGTGTTTAAAAACATAGAGGTCTGTATAATAATAAATCTTGTATTTGCAATGTTTGATTAGACCAGTGTTTATTATTGCCCTCATAATATGTTAAGTGTGAAAGAAACATTGTAAGATTAACACCAAAGATTGTGTAATACACTAACTGACCAATAGGTGGTAATAACTCCCATTTACCCTTTCCCTCATTCTTTTTTGACCTTGACTTTGAAGGTAATCAGTCACCAGTGCAACAGTGAGACAATTTTTTTTGTCTTTGGATAGTTTAATAAGTTTTTGTTCCAGTTTGATAGGTATTTTCTATGCTCGCTCTTTAGAAGAGGAGCAAAAGTTTTCTCTCTCCCAACCCCAGAAATATTTAGCTTCACCATTTGGATCAGGACTTCGAGTTTGGAGGAAACCTTGATATTATCTGCTGTGCACATTTGGCTTCCACGTTTCGCCCACAAAATATACAGTTAATTCTCTTTACAATATATTCTGTGAAGCGCTTTGAGACATCTTGAAGACGTGATAAGGCGCTATATCAAATGCAAGGATTATTATTAAGGAAAAACATTTCTTCAGCAGATCCAGTTCAGAAAATAACTATTAAACCAAAAAGAAATCACTCTGATAAACCATGTAAGGACAAAAAAGAAAAATGGTAGTGAGAACAATTTGAAAGTCAGCCAGCATTCAGGGTGGTGGTGGTGGGGTGGCTATGGGGGGCATAGGGTTAATGAGGAAACATTGTCATCTAGTGGCTATTTAGTATATTACTCTATTTGCTGTAGGGATCTTGCAATGTTAATTTCATATAAAACACATCAAAATTGTGGCAATAATGAATAGTGGTGATAAATTGACATTCGATTATATAACCCTGTACATTGTACCTCTATGTTTCTGTAACTTCCTACATTTTTCAGCATGTTTCAAAAATGTGAGATTGAATTTCCTCACCATTCACCAATATGTTAACATGGATGATTCCTAGGCAATTATGGTGTATTGGAGGATCTTCACAATCAAACCCCTGCGCTCAATCAAACCTGACTCTTCAACTGAGATTGGATTTACTGTGCTTGGGATTTTTTTTTAACCATGGAAAAAATATAAATTATGCAGAGAAGAGCTGAACAATTAGCTTTGAAAGAAGCCTAGGGGCAGGAGGATGCCATTTAGCTCATCAAACATGTTAAAATAATCCTACATTGTTGATATGTCACAAGGCGCTTTACAAGATTTTATGTAATGCATCCTGTGATTATGTATTTGTAGGTAAATGTGGCAGCCAATTTGCACACAGCAATGTCCCAAAAACTGCTATGAAGTGAATAGCCAATTATATCTGGAGGATTGTTGACCAAGACACTGGTCTGACACTTTAATAAGCTATGACAGAACTTTTATTCCCATTTCCTCACTTTTTCTCAATACCTTCATACAAATATCCATACTAATATCCTTACTTTATTTAATATCTTATCTATTTTCCTTTCTTTTAAAATTTACAATCGATTTTGACTCTACGACTTTCTAGAGCAGTGCATTCCACGATTTTACAATCCTCTTTGTGAAGACATGTGTTCTCACTTTACTTCTATCCAGTTTAGCTTTAATGTTAAGATAATGCCCCCCTCATTTTGGATGCCTCTAATCTTTAAAAGCCTTAAGCAGATCCCGTCTTAAGATCTTCAGGTTACAGCAAACAGATGATATGCGCCTTCTTTTATGGTAAATGTGGAAACTCCTGTTTGTTTGTAAATCCGTAATACAGCGATTTGCTTGATGTTTAGTGGAAATTAATATCCATAGGCAACATGTGTCAATTGTGTATTTAAATAATTGAATTATGAGTTGCTGACAATGCAATATGCACTCACAGACAGATTTGAAGGAAAATGTAATTTGATGTTGCTTTTCGCATTGATGCTTTTAGTGAATACCACAACAACAAAATTACATTTGTAAAGAGCCTTTCATGTCGGGACGATGTCCCAAGGTGCTGAATAGTCAGGGATCAGGACCCGAGCATGGGGGTCAGGGTTGGGATGAGGGAGGGCAGAAAGGGTAGGATGGCAGCTGAAGGCACGATCAAAAAGGAGGGTCTTGTGTCATGCCTTGAAGGAGGCAAGAGAGGGAGTGAGGCAAAAGGATTGTGGGATGGAGTTCCAAAGGGTGGGGCAGAGAGGCTGAACGCCCGGTCGCCGATGGTAGGGTGGGCCGGCCGGGAGACATGGAGCAGGCTGGAGCCTGCTGAATGGAGGGAGTGGACAGGTTGATAGGGGATCAGCAGGTCAGAGATGTGGGAGGGGGCAAGGCCGTGGAGGCCCTTGAAAGTGAGGACGAGGATTTTGAATTCTATCCTCTGAGGGATGGGGAACCAGTGGAGACGGGCGAGGGTGGGGATGATGGGGCCACAGAGCCTGGTGCGGGAGAGGACACAAGCTGCAGAGTTCTGGTGATCTGCAGCTTGTGTGGGGAAGAGTTGGGGAGGCTGACAAGGAGGGAGTTTCCGTAATCGAACCTTGAGGTGACCAATCTGTGTATGAGGGTTTTGGTGCCTGAAGGGTGAGGCAGTGGTGGAGTCAGGCAATGTTGCAGAGGTGGGAGAAGGCAGAATGGCTCATGGCACGGATATGGGGGAGAAAGGACAGTTGAGGGTCGAACAAGATGCCCAAGTTCTGATTGGCTGGTGAGGTGGAGTGTGCATCCCTGGATGCTGATGCTGCCAGTACCTGAGGTATGAAGGCGCTGGGGTGAGCAATCAGGAGGGCCTCAGTCTTGCTGACATTCAGCTGTAGAAAGTTGTCTCTCATCCAGGACTTGATGTTTGATTGACAGTCTGTCAGGATGTCAGTTGTCCTGGAATCGAGGGTGGAGGCAGAGAGATAGAGTTGGGTGTCATCCGCATACATGTGGAAGTTGACCTCATGTCTGCGGATGATGTCACCAAAATGGAGCACGTAGAGGTTGAAGAGGAGGGTCTAAGGACAGAGCCCTGAGGAACACCCCACAAGACCATGCAGGGGCTGGGAGAGAAACCATTGGTGGAGACAAATTGGAGACAAATTGTGAGAGATAAGATGATCCATTCAAGTACAGAACCTTGAAGGTTGAGGTGAGAGGAGAGGCGGTGGAGGAGAATGGAGTGGAGGAGGAGAATACACTGTTCTAAATGAATGAAGTATAAATTAATTTATCAGTCTTTCTCCCATTGTCCCTTCAGTATTATATATTATGTGATTGGGATCCATCAATCCCAGAATTAATTTTTCTACATGTGTTTCTGAATAGGAAACAGGACATATGGTATTACAGTGGATGATATTGCTCAGTTGTAGTTGGTGTCACAGTGCTTTTCTCCATTATATTATATTTCACTCATGAAGAATGTGAAAGAAAATTCTAGTGAATATTTCCCATGTTCATCCCTAAATATTCATTTTGTTTCTGGTACACAACACTACTCTTTACTTGAGAGCCATCCCTTTTTGGCTTCTATTTGTGCGCGATGAACTGCGTAAACTGCTGTCAATGGAAGAAAGAAAGAACATTTCATGAACAAGTTGTGATAATTTTTTTTTGCTGACCCGCAGATAGCAATACCTAGTCATTCTTTCAGGCCATCTACAGCCAATAGCCCCAACTAGTACAAGCACTTTCTGTACTTTGTTGAACGAAATGATTGAATTGGAAATCAAGTAAATGGTAAACATGTACAGATTGTTCTCTTTTGCTGGAATGCATTTTGCAGGTTTGTCATATTGATTTTTATTCTCACTCTATGACTTGGACAGAGATATTTGCTTACTTCATGTGACTTCTCATGCTTTGTTTCAGAAATCTAAAATATCAACCTACGAGAAGATGTGGGCCTTCATGAGCAGCAGACAACAAACAGCGCTTGTCAAAAACAATGATGAAGGAATCCAGCGTGTCTTGACTACAGATTATGCCTTGTTAATGGAGTCAACAACCATTGAGTTTGTCACACAAAGGAACTGCAACTTGACACAAATTGGAGGCCTCATAGATTCCAAGGGTTATGGAATCGGCACTCCTATGGGTATGTGATCAACCTGACACATGTTCTCTGTAAATGAATCCGAAATGCAGTGAGGTTGAAACTAAACCAGGCCTGGCTGAATGTTATTTGACATTTGTACAATATAGTCTATGCTGACGCTCCAATGCAGTGCAGGGAATGTGCTGCATTATCAGAGGTGCTGCCCTTTGGATGAAACAAGGTCTTATCTGCCTGTCCAGGTGGATGTTAAATATCCCATGGCACTATTCAAAAAGAGAAGGGAGTTTCTTAAGGTTTACTGGCCAACAATCCCCCAAATAAAATTGGTGACTTTGTGGCTGTTTGAGGGACATTCTGTTCATGAATTAGCTGCTATGTTGACCTAAAAAATTTACAGACACTATACTTCACAGCAAAATCCTACGAATTTCTTTGAGACATCTAGGCAACATCTAGGCGCTGTGTCAAAAGGATTTTTATTATTATTAATAATGATTTATTTCACTTTATGGATATGAGGGATCAAGCTAAGAAAACCCAAACTGGAAATAGCCCAAGGCCAGAAAACTTGCAAAGAGTTGTCTGTGTTGTTTTTGGGTAGCTCAACTGATTTAGCTTAGGGGTGTCTTGGAACCAATAGGTTCTGGGTTCAAAATGAGAACTGTTTCCTCCTTTGAGGTGATGGAGCTATGCATGGTTCCCTGGGTTTAACTAGTCTCACCAGATGGATTCTCTGGAATCCAACCCAGATATGGAAAAGTACACAAGTTCTTATTTCACAAGCAGAATTCTGACAGGTATTGGTTTTAGCCGGACAAGCACCATACTGCATAGTTATCATTGTATGGTGAGGTAGCTTGAACATTCTCGAATAATATGAGCCACAGGACTGGAGGGTTGTTGTGGTGCAATGCAGAGAGATATGTAGAGTGTTTGATAAGAAACTTGTCCGAACAGCTTCTTCTTACGCTGTTTTTACTTGGGGGAGGGAGAGAGGAGAAGAAGACCTTTGGCTATGTGAGGACTGTCAGGTCTTGTTATATTTCAGTCAAGCTACCTGTGCAATGCAGGAGAACACTCTATTGGCATTGATGGGACTCATTGATTACTATTCCCTTGTGTTCTGGAGTGTTTCTGGAGGGTGTCATCAATCTAGTTTGAAAGGATAGAATTCTGCCAATCGTTCCTCCATACTGTAAAGCACTGTGATTGAATTTTGATTGACATCCACAGTCTTACGCACTGCATGTAGCAGGCAAGTTATTTGGCTGAAAATTGCTCACTTACAAACAATGAAATGCTGCAAACTGCTCAGCCATCATGGAAAGTTATTCTGCTTTGTTGAACTGGCCAGTTCAATATTGTTGATACAACTAACAGCCATTACTTTATGAAACCTTCAAAAAAGGATGCCTGACTCACATTACTGTTAGCAATGTACATTCATGAATTATTTAAATGCTAGTATGGAAGCTATAATGTATCAGAAATGAGAGGTTTATCCTATTTATAGGTCTGTGCAAGAACAACCTAGTAGTCACAGGGTTACTCTATTACAACAATTTAAAAACTTAAAGCATGGTGTTAAACCAGCAGCAATTTAATTTCTAGCATTGTGATGTAACTAATGACTGTGATAGACTGCCTGTGGAGATGTCCTGAGCATCTTTCTGACAGATGAAATTAAAGGAACAGTAAGGCACTGCCGTTGTACATGTTGGCACCTGCATTGTAAAGACTATTGTAAAGACTTTTCACACCTATAAGAATTTGGGCATATTGGCCTTTACTGTGAAATAATGAAATTGGTGACAGCTTCAGCAGTCAATGGAACAAATCATTTTTGTCAACTATTATCACAGCCCTGGTATGTGCTGATATATGAGTCATCTGGTGGAGAAGACTGCAAACAAACAGGAACCAATCACTTTGATAAAAATGCTGCTCAATTTCAAAATCTATTGCGTTTTCCCTCTGGGAATTTGTGTTAGTGAAGGTAAATTCAGTAAAAAGCAGGCAAGAAAAATGCATTATAGATGAAGGCTGAGATTAATGAAATGATTGGATAGGTAAATGTGGTGATCATTATTTGCATTAATTCAGCTACTTGGTGTTATTGGCCCGCTGTTGAGGAAGCAAGTAAGGCATTGATTTAATAATAATAATCATTATCATCCTTGTATTTGATATAGTGTCTTTCACGTCTCAAAGCGCTTCATGGGATTCGCTTCGCAAACAAAATTTGATTTACAACACACAGGACCGACAGAAGCATAGGGTTTGGGTTATTCAGCTGACATTTGAAGTGACTAACATTCTCCTTCCTGCTGTTGAAGAGTGGATATACCATTGCCTTGGTTTGATTTTTGGAGAGATTATATTGCCTATCCTATACCCATTGATGAGAATGACTACCCCATTCAGAAATCTGTAAAGAGCAATGGCTTGACAACATTTCCAGCCTCCTGGTCATTTGTTAACTTCAGATCTGCATTCAGTATTCATGTTTCTCCTTCCATTCCGGTTTGTAACTGGCAGTCACACCAGTGTGTTGTATTTCTTTATATGTTTTCAACTTTTTTTTATTTTTCCTTATATGTTTTAGTGGTAAAAATTCCATTCAGCGTTACACACATGGGTTTTGGTGATGTTGACCTGTTATTGGATATCCCATTACAGTCATGCATCACCTAAGGTGCAGCGTGTAACACTGAATGTATTTTTTGCCCAAAAGTATGTAATTATTTCCTGGCTTCAGTGAAGGAAAAGGTTCTACGTGCATATCTTCAAGATTTTCTTTGGTCCATAACACTGTTTTCATGTTCAATGAACTTAGTGGGGTTGAAAAAGGTGCTTGACTGAAAAGATGCAGCAGTGCTTGCTAGCTCCTCATAGACAGAAAGAGGATCTTGCGCCTCCAACAGGGAACCACTTGTACAACATTCCGAGCTCTGAGGTACTGCAAGTGAATGTGATATTTATGAGGTTCCTTGCTCGAAACAAGGTACTTTTTCGGCTGCTGATAATAATAATCCTCCTTACATTTGATATAGCACCTTATCACATTATTAAAGGTTTCAAAGTGCTTCACAGGATACACTATAAAGCAAAGTGACTGTGAATTCTGTGGCTGAAACACAACAGTCAATTGCACACAGCAATGTCCCACAAACATATGTGGAGTTAGTGAGTTACAAAGAGAGAGAGCGAGCACATGAGTAACTGAGGCACAGGTTAAGACTTGGCTGTAACAACTGACCAATGAACTGTTGACGCCTGAGGTGGACAGCAAAGGTCACCGAGCAGCGGAAGACATGGTCAGACCATCACCTAAGACACAAATATCAGTATCACAATTCTGAGGTGTGCCTTTTCAATCCCAGTGTTTCTTAGGGACAAGTATATACTTTGCAGCCCAACAAGAGTTAATGGAGATTCTTAGACATGTAGTAAATCTGTAGTAAGTTCATTAAATATTAAATACTCCAACAGTCTCTGATTTACCTTCCTCTACATCTACATGAAGTATGGAGGAGATAGTGAGAAAGATCTCATATTTAGGCAAAATCTCATTTTGTTTCATTCCAAAGTGCCTTCCTTCAGCTATTGTGACTCACTCACTCAAATTCTCTTCCCAAATCCTCTTCTCCCTCTCTGAGTCTCTCCCTGCTTTCAAAACCCACTCACCTATAATTACAAAGTAAAAAGTAAAAAAAAGAAATGAGACTTGATAAGGTGCTATATCAAATACAAGGATCATTATTATTAACTAAAAATGAATGTTTTCTAATGCACCACCTTGGACCACCTCTTTCCTACTACCCCATCCCTTTGCTAGCTCAGGCTCCTATTCTGTAAAGCATATTGAGATATTGTCCTACTTGGATAACTCTATATAAGTACAAAATGGTCTTCCTAGATTTTTTTAAACATCATGGTAGGTGCAACATTGAGCCTCACAAGCCAAATGCTACAAATTTGTGTTCCAAGTTAGTTAATCTGAGAACATGTAACTCAGTGAGCAAGCGAGAGACCTGGGTTTGATTCCTGGCAGGGCAAAACGTTGGGCAAGTTTTCTTACTCCACACACCTCTGTTTACCTAGCAGTAAGTAGGAACCCGGTGGTTAGTCGTTTGGTAAATCACTTTTCTGGAGGTAATAATTCCTTCAAAAAATAACAATAGAATTGGTCACTTCAATCCACGACTGTTTGTGGGACACTGCTGTGCGCAATTGGCTGCCACGTTTTGCCCATAAAATATATAGTCAATTCACTTTACAGAATATACTGTAAAATGCTTTGAGACATCTCGAAGACATGATACGGTGCTATAACAAATGCAAGGATTATTATTATTAACATCAGTGGAGACAGCACAATAGGTATTAGTGCCAATGTTCTGAGCTAAGGAGGTGAAAACTATCTTGCTCCTGATTGCTATCTGGCTTCCTGCTGGAAGTGGGTGTATGCTTTCGGATATTAGTTGAAGAAAAGGCTCTCAGTTGTGACAAGCTCTTCTCCCCTTTCGAATAACCTGACAAGACTTTCCTGTCCAGACTCACACATGAAGAATGGTTACTTAAGTGCGGTGCTTGGAGAAACTGCCTCTCACCACTATTACTCTCAGGAGATGCACGATAAGGAGGCAAAATAAATAGAAAAGAAAAGGGAAAGAACATAAGGAAAAAGAGGTATGGGGTGAAATTCCACCTGGATCTAGATTCATTCTCTTTATGTAGCATTTCAGAGTGTCCAGAATTTGACAAATTGTTGAATCCAGTCTTAACTTTGCAGTTGGTTTTCTGTGGTTCTTAAAAGAAATTACTGAAAACCAGCTTCATATTTAAGACTCTTTTGAAGAATTTGCCAAATGCTCGGAAATGCTACATGAATAAGAATAAGTTCAGACCCAGGTAGAATGTCTCCTCAGCAGATTTTTACTTTGCTTATAATCCTAGGTGTTGCGGTTTATTTTCCTGAATGATTGCATATTTGGCTAAAATAAATGAATATTTCTGGCATCTAATTTGCGAGAAAT